TGGACATTTTGTGGTACACCAGGTATGTTATTTTATTTTATTTCTACGTTTAAAAAAAAAAATTTTGGACTTTGCTATTTAGAATATGTTGCACCAGAAATAATCCTTAATAAAGGTCATGATATGGCCGCTGATTGTTGGTCTCTTGGTATTTTAATATTTGAACTTATTAATGGAAAGTATGTTATATTCTAATATTTAGGTTTTTTTTCGGTATGTTTTTATATTTTTCTTCTTTAGCCCACCATTTTCTGGTTCAGACCCCATGAAAACGTATAATGTCATTTTAAAAGGTATTGATGCAATTGAATTTCCTCGTCGAGTATCTAAAATGGCATCATTATTAATTAAACGATTATGCCGGTATAGATTCTCTTGAGTCATTTTTATTACTTATAAATGAATTTTTTTTCGTAGAGAAAATCCTGTTGAACGTATTGGATATCAAAAAGGTGGTATAGCAGATATTCAAAAACATAAGTAAATATCTTATTTATTTCTTATTAAGATTTAATATGATTTCTATGTTTAGATGGTTCGAAGGATTTAGTTGGGAATTTCTAAAGAAAGGAACATTAACAGCACCTTTTGTTCCAAAAGTAAAATATTCTATTAAATCTTCTTCTTTTATTTATTTATAATTATAATTATATTAGGTTGAAAATGATGCTGATACATCAAATTTTGATTATTTTCCTGAAGATGATAGTGCTGAACCTGAAGATGATTTGAGCGGTTGGGATAAAGACTTTTAAACAAAGAAATATTCTTTCCACGCCTCAACATCAGACATTTTATGCTCATATATACCGTTTAAATACGGTGTGTAAATTAGAATATTATTAAAAAAAAACGAAGACATTCATTTCTTATTTGGCTTTTTCTTTTCATGCTACTTTACTTGTGTTGTATAGAAAGATTTTTTGTAATATCTCGTTAGTTTCTCTATTTTTTTTTCTTTCATGCTTGTCATTGTTATTAATTTTCTTTTTAGTCAAAATTATAATGTATAATTTCTGATAGAGATATTTTAGATGTGTATAAAAAATAATTAACTAATTCTTTATTTTCACATAAAACTAATCTTGAGAGATTAAATATTACAGACAGTTAATTTTTTTGTTTTGTTTTCAATAATATAAATATTTCAGCAGTTATCATTTATGAATTCATTTGTATAAAGATCTGGCACCGTTATCGAAATGAAATATTTATATGTTCTTGAGTTGATACCAATTAAAAGTACCTGCCGCTTTCTGTTTTAACCAAAAATTCGATTTTGAATTGATCATATGATTTGATAGTCTCAAGCAATTCCACTTACTTACTTACAAAAGAATTGCCCGAATTGATACCCATCGTTTGAACTCATATTGGGTTCACAGGAAGGTTTCGGTAAGATGAGAAAAGTTCCAAAAAGATTTTGTGTCTCTGAAGCCGAGTTATGACTGTCTTATTGAATTTTCGGCTCAGTTTTAGGCACCTATCGAAAAATCAGATAATGAAAGTTCGATCTGAAATTTCGTCCGTAAACAGGTCTTATGGTTAGTGATTATATCCTGAAAGTTTCAGTCAAAAAGAATGTTCCTTTGTCGAGATAATAGATCTTCAAGTAAATTTGGTTTTTTTGACATGCAATCATTTCTTGGAAATTCAATATCTTGAAAAAGGAACTTTTCTTTCGACTGAATCTTTCAGGTTTCTCCTAGAGCTATCAGATCTATCTATGGGCGAAATTTCTGTACAACGATCATAACTCGACTCCATCGCCTCATGGACACGAACCTTTTAAGTCTTTTTCTAATCTCACGGAGACTTCCTTGTAGTTCCCAATATGAACTCAAACGATGAACATCAGTTCGGGTGATTCTCTAGTTAGCGTAAGGCAAAGTATTAGTGTGCTCAAGCCTGGTTGTTTACCATCTCCTTCTAACTTTGTCCAGACGGCCCGAAATTATTACTACAGATACTTGAGCGTATCGTCAAGCAGTAAAATCAATCGTTTTTGTTGTTTACTTTCGTATCCAAATTTAGGGAATTCTGAAAATTTTGACTTCGAACCTTTACGTATTTCTATCATAAAAAAAAAAGAAAATCAGATTTTTGAAAACGTTCTAAAATACCTCTGAGATACAGTCGACAAAAAAAATTTAGTCAGATCAGATTACACGTGTAGCGGGGGTCGCAATATACCAAGATGCACTCCTATGGAACACTAGAGTTTTCTCGAAAATTCTCTTGAAAATTATTTTCCTCAAACACATATGCTCTTATTCCAAACACTCTATTTGTTGTAAAAATTTCAATCTAAATGTTTGTGTAATCTCTTTTCTAGAATCAAAAATGATCAAAAAAGTAGGAAGGAGTACGGTTCATCTTTGTTTTTAATGAATATTCTCTATTTGAATGTATGATTATCATCTCATTAGCTAACACACCAGGAGTTTTATTCACGTAATGTTCTGCTTTTCTTTTGCCTTCGTCATTCTCATTATCGAATGATAGACAACTTCCGGAAGTTATGTTTATATCTGCGTTCAAAACAAAATTAATCATTCGTAGAACATAACAAAACAGTCATCTCATTTACGTATAGAGATATTTATGTATACAAAAAAATCCTTCATATTGAGTCGCTATCAACTGTCGATATTATGAAAGATAGTAAAACAAAAAAAGAAAAAAAAAAACGTTCGCAAAATATTTTTTTTCAATAACATATATATATATATATGATATGAAATCAAGTGAATGGAGAACAAAGTAATTATGTCTGTAAATTTATTTACTGCTGAGTTTGTTTTAATTTTTATTATGTTTTCTTTTTAATCAAAGAGTACTTTTGTTCGAAAATTTGAAATCTTGAGAGCGACAGTACGCATCAATGATTTATCTGAATAACAACAATTCCCTTGATGATTTGCATGTCGTGATTTTTTTTTCTTTACCGATGAACAAAAAAAAAACCATTTAACACATTTTGAGTGTATGTCTCGTCCGTTAATCGAGATTTGAGTATGTTGTTTGGTGTCATATTTAACTCACTTGACGAGTCATACATTTGATGACAAAAGTTAAATGTATGTCTGGCTAATATAAAAATGAAAGAGTGATGAAAGACCCATTATCTATTAGAAATAAGATAATGGATCATCGTATGTTCAACGTCTGACTTGTGACGTGAGACAGTCGGTGATATACTTATATAGTAAGGTTTCGTTTAACGTTCATTGATAAGACGCGATATCGTTAGTGAGGACATTCTTTTGTACATATGAATGAGCGGCTTAGATCATAAAAAGAATGTCTAAATAAAACGCTGACCTTTTCACTTCGGTCAACATCCTTGCCTTCTCTTTAGTTATCATTAGACACTTTTGTTTAAAAAGAATAAAAAATAAAAGCGTACAGTTATTCAGACGAGTTATGTCACCTAACGCTTGTGCGTACGAAGCTGACAATGATGTTGATGATGATCGATTCCGGAAGGCGTTTGCTTTTTTTTCTCTTTCTCTAGTGTTTATAAAATATACATATAAAATATGTGTGACGTAATAGTGAAACGCAAAGAAAAAACGGAACAGTTTTCAATGGAATAAAATTGTACTGTTGTTTGAATCTCGTGTTTTCTCTCTCTTTTCATATTTATAGGACCAATATAAAAAACTCGACGTAGTTAAGTAAAAATGATGAGTGTTTGTATTTATAGTCAAGTATATAATTAGAATAAGAAAGAGAGCGCCTATACACGCGTCACCCGCTTTGTATTCAATCCAAGAAAAAAGGTCGTATGTATGTGTGACATATTTGCATTCATTCGATGCTTGAATGATTTGATTTAGAAGAATGAAGAACTTTGTTGTATATATAAACATTCAGTTATGTTTTTCTATTTCTTTTCTTGAATATCTAGATATCTCTTGTGTCTCTTCTTCTATACAAAAAAAATATGTGATAGAATCCATTGATCTCTCTAGAGAGAAGAAAAAAAAGGCGATACTAATGATAAGAACGTGAAGCGTTTTTTTTCTCCTTCTCTTTCTCTTCCTCTCTCTCTCTCTCTGCTGCCTCCCCTGATAGAAAATGCGTGCTGCTCACACGTCCACACGTTTGTACATACGAAAAGCATATACATATATTGTTCTCTCTCTCTCTCTTTTCCTCTCTTTGTAAATTAATGATAACCTTGTGCAACTTTCAACAGTAAGTAAAGGGGATTTAATCATATCAACTGATTGATAAAACCTTGAACTTTTGACTTGATAGAGATCTATAATCCACTCTCTATACATATGTGCTTCTGTTCATTGTTTGTTTTCTACTCTTGTACTCATTTTCAATGTACAAATATTTGTTTGTCATGTTCTCTTTTTCCTCTTTTCAACCACTTTAGACAAATGTAAAATGATATCAGTTGATGAGTGTATTTCTTATTCGCTCGTTGTATTCCATTATCTCTAATACATATTGTTTTTATTTTTAATTAAAGCGATAAACATATGTTGAATCAACAGGAATGAGAATTTTCACCATCAGGTATAAGTACTTTGAAACTTGTTTATAATAGAAATATTTCACCTACAGATATGTTAGACTAACTTTTTCAATAGATTTCAATAATGATTTTTCGAGTTGAATATATCATTTCCAAAAAACATGTCTATCTACATCTTAACAAATTTAATACTATTTTATTTTTCATTATAATTCTTCATTATAAAATACAGTAAAGAAATTGCACAAATTGAATTAGTGCCGATCTAAAGTATTTGTTGTTTTGAAGTTGAACAAGTAATTATTTAAGGTATAAAAAACAATCATATTCATCATCTTCTGCATGAATGAAAGCATCTAATACGATTATCGCTTCTGCATACATTGATAGATTCATCATCGTCAGGAAAAAAGCCTCGAACCAGTCAGTCATTTATCTGCTCGTTACATTCGCTCTAAGCATAGACAAACATTATACATCGATATATATATATATATATTTGTAGATGAATGAATGTTATTATTACCTACTGTTACTGAGTTTATTCAGTAATTTTCAACATTCATTGACATATGAAAATTTTGAACAAGATTTTTCTATTCATTTACCAAATATAACTATACAACATGTATGTGAAAATGATTTACTTTATATAAAATGTTCAAATATAAATGAAACAATTCAAATTATACGTTCAATGTATGGACGAACATCACAAAGAATATGTAATAATAATTTAACATATCGTTTTTTTGATAAAACATGTGCAAATATTGAACAATCAAAATATCAAACAAAACTACGGTAGACTCAAAAAACAAAAAAAAAACAAGAAACAACGTTTTATCTATTTCTAATTAATTGATTGTATATATTTTTTTTTTGTAGTTGCCATGAAAAATCTACATGTCAAATATTAATTGATAATCATATATTTAATGATCCATGTGGATTAAATATTCCAAAACATTTTGAAATTCATTATCGATGTATTGACAAAAGTAAACAAAAAAAAAAAAATAACGAAATGCATTCTTTTGTATTAAAATAAAACAAAAAAAAAAACTTTTATTTAGAACAACTTTGTTCAAAATTATTTCTTAATTGTTCAAGATCAAATGATTTAAAATGTATTCAAAAAATTCAAGAAGATTTTTCTTGTCAATGTCCATCAACATTTTGTCAATATAGTATAGATATATCTACATTTAAATGATTTAGAAATAATTTCATTTTCATTTAATTTCTTTTCAAGATAATAATCAAATAATTGGATTTATTAAAAAATATTGTCCAGAAGAAAATCTTCAAGGTTTTCATTGGCCTAAAACACTTATTAATAAAAGTCAATATCTTTCATGTCCTTCTCCATGCATTGGTACATATATTAGATTTATAGTGATGAAAAACAAATTTACAGCAGATGTATTATTAAGTGTCCTTCTTGACGTTAATAGCCAGCAAGAATTTGAAAAGACATTTGTGTGGTCGAAAGAGTTTTCTGTCAGGATTCATAGGTTCGAAGATTTCAACAAAGTTGTTTCGATAATGATTTGCGGAAAACCATATTCCTGACATTCATTCGAAGATGAGACATCTCTTCATCAAATTGCATTCAATTTACAGAAGACCTTGAAGCGTCAAATATGATAAAAATGCTTCTAGAATTTTCTGTCAATTGAATTCAGTTCAATGAAGGAAGGCTACAGAGAGACCCGAGATGTCTCATCTTCGAGTAAATGCTAAAAATCTGGTTTTCCGAAGACTCTCATCTAAGAAGTTTCGTTGAAGTCTTTACATCCATCAACTCTAATACTTTTACAGGTATACAAAAGCTTTTTTCCGATTCTTGGTAGCTATTACCATTGAGAAAAAAACTTAAAAAATACATCTGTTCGAGATTTTTGTCCGCGAGTAATAAAAATCTTTTTGTTTTTCTAGGTCAAGTTATTCGTTTTTGTAATTTCAATAGTCAATGGTCAAAAACGAATTATAGCAATTGTGATTGTCCAATAAAACAGTCTGACCAAGTAATATAATTACTATATATTTGTTTGTGTTTTTTTTATATTGATTGTCTATAATTGATTAGTTATCAACACATCGTTCAGCTAATAGTTATATGTTCGAATGTAATTTTTGGCTAATCAATAGAATATTGCCTAAGGATAATTCATGTATTCTTGTATGTAATGTATTTTATTTAATTAAATATGATTGATTTTTTGATTATAATATATAGTCATTTATGAATTGGAAAGAAAAATCAACTGATAATTCACTGAATTGTCTATTAAGTGCATTTGAACAAATGAGATTTCAATCATGTTTATTAACAAAATCATTTGGTATTGATTTTCAAAATTTAGCATTTGAAATATATATACCTATGACAAATGAAAGTAAATTTCATTTATTATCAAATATTCAATCAAATCAAATTATTGTTGATCGTACGGATAAAATTGAAGAAAATATCGATATGAATTTACCAATGATTGTTATTGATACAAAAATGAAAAATTCAAAAAATAAATCAATTATTTTATTTGAACAAAGAAATTATTTAAGTCCAATACAAACAGCTAATGTTACTATTATATTTAATCATCAAGTATGTTTAATAGTGATTTATAAAATTTGAATGATTTTGAAAGTTTAAAAGACATCTATGCATTTGTCAAAGAAAAATTTTTTCTTTTTGATCTTTAATCATTTTGTTGACATTGAAGTAAGCGTTGTTGACTTTAATTTCTTTGTATTATTGATATATTATTAATGCGATATGAGAAAAATCTTCTCAAGTTATTTTGTCGAGTTATCTAATATACAAAAATATTTAGGATACATACCATTTGACTCTTTTCAGGAGGTCAGTATTCATCTATCTCTAGATGGAATATTACAACATTGATATTTCTTTTGTTTTCATAAAGATTCAATCAAGAATTCTCATCAATCATTCCTATGACTTCAAAAGATCTTTGTCGATAATCGATAGGATCAAAGAAAAAATGTTTCTTTTTTTTTCAAAAAACTTGACCTTAAACATAAAACAAAATTTTCTTTGATTTTTTTTTTTAGTCATTTGATTTTCGTTATCAATGTCGCGCTTATCGGTCAGCAAATTTCTCATTACATGTCGAGTATAAATAATTTCTTCGTTTTTTCTTTTTGGTGTTTATTAATCATACATTTTTTTGCTTTGTTTGATCTAGTACAACAAATATGTTTGTTGCATGTCAATTATTATGTTCAAATAATAGTCATGTTATATGTCAATGCCCATTTTTCAATCCATTCATGCATTATATTTTATATATCGATGTAAAGAATCGATTGATTTGATATATATAAATATAAATGATGAATCGTTTTTGTTTTATAGACATCACGAACTGAGAATGATGTAATGATTGATAATGATTTAAATGGAAAATGTTTTGAAGAAAATAAGTTATTAATTAATGAAAATTTAAATAAAATCGATCAATACTTGAAACATATTTCATCATTAAACTTTGCAAAAGTTTGATTTTACTTTTGTGTTTGATGGATAATAAATTTTTTTTTTCGTATTTAGAAACTTTTTTTATTTATTGATAATATAATTGAGAAAGAAAATGTTTTTAAAAATTGGGATATTATTGATCGATTTATTAGACAACTTGAATTTCTTGGTTTTCAATTACTTAATCTATCGAATTCATTTACTTCAATTACAAATCATATTGGTAAAAAAACAAACGAAAGAATTTCTTTGAATATAACTTTTTGTTTTTGTTTTCATTAGAATTTTTTATTAAATCTAAACAAATTCAATATGAAAATATTGATCAATCAGTAACAATATTAATAATGAATGAATTAGATCAAAATCTTGAATATCAAATTATATTTTTTACAATTTCAAATTTAAATATAAATCAATCATTAAATAGTCCTATTGTTTATTTAAACTTAATACCAGAAACTATATCCATAGATAATATTCAAATTATATTTCGTCATTTAAATCGATCAAATCAAATACCAATTTGTGCTCATTTAAAAAATTTTCAACAGTAAAAGAGAAAAGAAAAAAGACGGAACCTTTTTATTTGAGTGTTTTATTCTTAGGGATCATGTACAATGGAGCACAGATGGATGTCGATTATTATCAACAAATTTAACACATTCAATATGTTCATGTAATCAATTGAGTACATTTGCTTTATTTATGGGTTATCAAAAGAAATCTAATGATAATCGTTTATTATTTATTTCAAAAATTGGATGTATTATATCAATTGTTTGTCTTCTATTAACAACTATTATACTGATCATCATCCGGTAATGATTTTACATTTATGAGAGAAGTTTCTCGCTTGATAAATTGCTTTTCAGTCAAGACTTGTGCTCGGCATGACGAACTTTTCTGATCACAGTCACCATCCATGACCGTGGGTCACGGTCATTGTTCGTAGCTTATCGCAAGTCGCGATTTCTTTCCATGAGCAATATTTCATACTTTAAATACAATGGCTGTGTCAATGAAAAAACTTTCGTTATAACTTTATATTTAAGAAACTTATTATGCACTATTGATATATCTATCGAAACTATTTTTGAAAATCAATTTCATCCATATATAACTATGCTTTGGCTTTAAGCAGAATCTTGAAAAATGCTGTATTGGCGGTCTTTCATAGATTTCTCAAGTGTACTCTCTGATTGACTTTGCTAATGTCACGATTTTTGCATAGATGTGTATATCGAACTGTCACACATGTCATGGCGAAAATTGCGTCTCAATATTATTTCAAATTAAGAAATTTGAGAAAAAAACCGTTCCTTATTCGGGATACGGATACTTAAAGGATTAATATGACGAAATTTCGATAGAGTCAAAAATAAATAATAGTGAGAAGAATTTTTATCAAGAAGAAAATTATGTTCTTAAGTAATTCGATTCAATTCAAAAGAGTAGTAACATATGCAAGTTTTCGTTTAACTGTATTTGTAACAAAATATGTACTTTTATTATATTTTGTACTTGTTGTGATGTTGGTGTCATAGGAGAATTTCAGAAAATTTTAAACTTTCTCGAGTTCGAATTTCTCGTGTAACATTTATGTCTAGTTGTTGTGATTTAGAAAAAATAGAATCATGTGACTATTTTAGTATCCGTGATCAAGTTCTATTCACGATTACACTGAGCACTAGCTAGGACTATTATTAAATAACTGCCGTGGTAAAGGTATGAGTGTTACGGAAGAGAAGACTCACACATTAATACGACATTATGATATTGCGAGAAGAAGAAATATGAATCGGTTAATTTGTGATAATGTTGAAATACCTGTTCTCAGCTAAAATGACGCTTTCAGGGTACACAGTGACCATGATATTAGCTATCAACTTTAAAATTGGAAATGTTTTTTTTAGACATTATTCTTAGTCATGAGTATTTGACGTCTGATGAAGCATTTTTTTATATGTAGATAGTGACTTTCCACGATTAATTTAACAGCATCTACGTATCTTTGCTCGAGAAACTAAAATTGTCTGGATACGAGAGAAATCCTGAAGCTTCTAATGTGTCTTTTTCATCGATCAGTCTACATGAATCTTCTATTTTGGCGAGTGATTTTGTTTCTTGTGAAAGTTTCAAGTCTTTTGATTCATCTCTATTGCGAAATACGAACGATGTAGAAGACATACTATTAACGTAGCTATATCTTATAATAGAATCAATGAAAAGATCTGAAATGTTTACAATAAACTCTTCTTGTCAATGTCTGTCTCTGTACAAAGTTTCAAATCGAAATTCAAAAATCAATTTTTCTGTTATTATGTCATTCATTTAAAAAATAACCTAAAAGTGTAGTATCTCCACAGCAATAAGCTTACGGTATGAGCTCTTTTCAGGATATCTATGGCTCATTCAGGAACAGCATAATCCATATTGTCTCGACTCAGAAGCAATTTATCAGTTGAAAGGCTTCTCTCGTTAGAAAGTTTAATTTAAGAATGAATAAATATTGTCCATTGATAAAAGTTTCGTTAGGAATTTTTTTTTCTTTTAATTTTAATTTTAATAATTTCTCTTTTGTTCGAATGCAATGGAACAATATCATTCCAGTTCAAATTTTTTAAGAATGTCTCATGACATTTCATTCTTTATTTGCTCATGAAAAATTATAGTTTGTGTTTGAGGAAATATGAAATTAGTTTCGTTTCAGACTTATACATTGCTTTTTTTTTAGGGAAAAGTTGTCATATTATTAGAGAAGTTTAAATAGTGAAAAAAAATTATTTGGATAAAATTTATGGTGATTAGAAATTTTTATCATCGAAAAAACCAACATAGTGACCGTTAGCAAGCTGAAAAATCTCAGTAAACTCATCAGAATCTAAGAATTCATAGATGAAAAATGTACGGAAAAAGTAGTTGTATTATTTCTTGATACTTAAAGACAAGACACTGAAATCTTTGAAGTAAAATACCGTGTCTTAAATTGTGACAGAGTCCAATAGATTTTGATGAATTCACTATTATATTTCGTTAAGCATTCAATACAAGGTTTGAAAAATAAAATAATGATTATATGATATATTTCAATGAAACTTTCATATTATTTAGACTACTAGCCATGTCAAAAAAGTTCAGTAACAAAAAAGGAAAGTCAATAGTTTTAAAACCATATAAGTAACTTATCCAGAGTTTCTTTCGACATTATTTTGATATTTTAATTTTTATCTCAATGAGTTTTTTAATGAACATCTTGTAATTATTTTTTCTAAATTATAGTTTATTTCGTACTCAACTAAAATGAAGGTCAGTTCGTTTTGACAAACCAAGCGTTTTTTCTATTATTATTATCTGTCAACATATTTCATAAAGCTTTATATATTTGAGCAGGATTTAGTAAGTTTTTTCTTTAGTAAATTAATTAAGAATAATTATTTTACCATAAATAGTTTTAATAAGAGATGTTTTCTCGTAATTCCATACATTGTTGTCGACAATACGAAATAAGCTTAAGAAGTAGATAAGACGCTTTAATTCAAGTACATGTGAATAAACATAATGAATCTCAAAGACTAGTTTAAATCTTTGAGAATGAACCCGATAGCCATTTTATGTAAGTTTTCAAACGTAGTTCTAATGAATTAATTATTTGACCTAGTTTTACAATTACATGAAACTTATCACAAGAACTATTGTGCTCATGACGTTAATAGACATATACAATTAATCGGAATGATGTTGATTAAAACTTTAAAATGTAATCTATCTTACTATTAAAAATACATGTAAATTCTTTGAACTGCTTAATTTTTTTTGATCGAACTTTCGGAACATACAACATATTTTGATCAATGTGAATGTCTTATTCCATTATTAAATAATGGAATACTAATCATCATAGTATGAAGTTAGAAAAACATAAATATAGATGTACATAGACGATAGGACAATAGTAATCTTCAGATGACTTCAAGAAACTACAGATGACTGCAGATGCGTTCAGAAGATTTCCACAGATTTCGGGAGAATTCAGAAGCGTTAAGATGACTTCTGAAGATTTCATAAGATTTGAAGATTGAAATCTCTGTTGTCTTGCCTTCCTTCATAGATTCTTTCAAGAATTTACTACTAAAAATTGAACATTTATTTGTTTTAAACTATTGTATAACGAAAAGTGCTTATTGCATAAACCAATTATGAAAACAACAATATAATGTTCAGATCTTTTTTCAATTGACGAGAATCTTTCGAATATGTGTGTTCAATTTTGTTGTAATATTTAAGTGATTGATGAATTTGTATTGTTTATTATTAAACTAAAACTAATACTTCTCTAGATTTCAAATGAATATGGATGATGATTTGACAATTGTTCGTAATAATCTTCATATGAATATGTTATTATGTTTAATTATTGTACAAATATTATATCTATTTGGTATTGATCAAATAAAACATAAAGTAAAATTTAAAATATTCTTTTTTATTTTTGTATTTTTTGAATATATTAAATTAAATCTATTTTATTTTTCTTTAGTTTGGTTGTCAAATAATATCTATATTACTTGATTATTTTCTTTTGGCAACATTTTCATGGATGTTTGTTGATAGTATTGAATTATTAATTGCATTAAAACATGTATTTAAAATTGATCGAATACGTTTAATAGCTTATTCAATATATTCATATGGATTTCCATTATTAATTGTTTTTCTTTCAATAGTACTTTCAACAAAAAATAAACATAGTTCAACAACATAGTATGTATTTTCAAGATTTATAGTAAAATGCCAATAGATGTTAAGTAGTTGTCGTATTTTCTTAAGATAAATCAAAATAATTTTTTACTATGCACTTTTTCTTTTGATGCAAAAAAACAAAAACAACGGATTTAATTAATTAAAAGAGTTAAAACGTAATATTTTAAATTTCTATAACCTAATTATAAAAAGTCACGAATCAAAACTAAGCAAAGATAATTTTGAAGAATATTTAGAAAACTCAGAACAATCTCCTAAATTGTTTCAAAACAATCGCATAGATATTTATTAATAATTTAAGTATTTAAAATTGAGTTTAATTCAATATGTTTAATAAAATTCTTATTTTGTGAAACACAATCTAAAGGGAATGTTGACATATACGGTAAAAATCGAGTTCTTTCGCAGATCATGACACCTTGTTGATATACGATAATAGACTGTATATCAATAACGTCTCATTAGTACTTCCTTATTAAATGTCTGAAGGATTAAGTACAAGAAATGTGTCTGAAAACAAGTTGAATAAAATAATCTCTCTGTGACTAGTAACAACAGCTACATCGTGTCTCACATTACAATCCAGAGAATTTGTGATGAAAGCTTTTGTATAAACCTTGACGATTCAAATTTTGTTTTCGTTGTGAATTTAGCTAATTTTCGATCTTAAAATGAAATAAAAATAAAAATATAATTTTCACGATAGTTTTCGACTATGGAATACATTTGATTTTATGAGTCTTTTTTTCTTTTACTCCTCTGAGTATCCTATATCAAGTTTCAACTGTCTATTTCAGAGACATGCATCTTGAAAAAAAAACATATATTTATAAAGAGATCTGTTGCAAGTAGAGATATAAATAGGGTGACTGAATTGTCGATGGTAGAAAAATTTTTAAAATCATTCAACCGCCACCGTCGATCAAAGCATTGACGACTTACACCTCTAGTTATAATGATATTTTATTGTTATATCGTTCTCATTTCCTACATTTGATTAATTCTACGTAATTTTTTTTTTCTTACAAAAAAAATATTAAAATTATCATTTGGTAGATTTAAATGAATTAATCAAAAATATTCCAATACCTCGAAGTCAATGTATTGATCTATTGAGTTTTTAAGGACGATACAATTACAGCACATCCTTTTTCATTCTTTCAAACTTATCAAACTACGTTTTCTTATAAACTATTATTAGCCTGTTCTTAATTGAAGTTTTCTTTATGTTAGATTATTCAATAAAATGAATGGCGTTTTAGGTTTTTTTATGAGTAAGAGTTAAAAACTGACATATTTTTTGACCCATACAGGAAATTATTAACAAAAAGATGCTTTTTTCATATTATATCTAGCCAACTAATCACGATTAAAAGCACTAAAAATTAGATGAGATATTCTACTTGAATAACTATTTGATGTCAGAAAACGGTGTGAGTTGTCTTCTATGTATCACCAATGGTATATATAGACTTTCTGGTACGGTGTCATTCATCACACATTGAACAAAATTTTAAAAAAATTTGTTTCAACAACGAGAATTTATCGGGAATTTTTTTTTATACAAAATTTTTATATTTGAACTAACATGAAATATTTATACGAAGAGAATATCTAATCGAATTTCTAGTGCTCTTGCTCATAATAAGTTGGCTAAGTATAATATTAAAACAGTGCTTTTTTTGTTAATAATTTCCGATATGAGTCAAAAAAACATTGTTATTAATCATTACTAAAACGAGAATTATGATAAAATGTACTCTTTGTAGAATGCAATTTATTCTATTGTATAGTGAATCATAGAAAAAACTTCAAATAAGAATAGACTAATAATAGTTTACAAAGGAAAAGCCATTGGATAATTTTGTAAAGATGAAAAAGTGCATAGTGTGACTGCGTCGTCATTAAAAAGTAAACAGATCGATGGATTAATCTGGAATTTTTTGCCTCAAATACTAACGTCTATGAGCTGTAATCTGACGATAACTAGAG